GCCCCTTGGGAGTTCAACCACGACCGCCTCGCCGACCATCAATCATTTTTGTGCCTCCCCCCCCCCCGATTACAGTTCGATGCAAAATTGCGCTCCTCGTTGCATAAGCAGTTTTCCCATTCGACACTGTCGAATTAATCGAATCAGCTCCAACGCACGCAGCCAATTTTTATCTAAACCAACAAATGGATTTATGTATTGGTCTTATAATGGATATTTTTTTATAGTATGAATGGGATTATGTCTATAGCGTTTCCACTAACAGCTATATGAGCGATACATGAGCTGACTATTTACCATTTTTTATTTCAACCCTCGTATCTTTTTTGATAGTGCACTAACTTGTGGTCTAGCAAGATATCTATGTAATAAATCGTTTTCCGTCATTGCAGATGTTTATGCAGATATATATCTCCAATTATTATTTTGTTCATATTATTTGTATTTAAAATTTCATTTAGTTCTTGTAAATAATTTTGCTGTTGTTAGGTGGTCTATAGATTGCAAATATGCTTACTTTGATTTTGTTATTTGTTTCTAAATTACCTGCTAATACCTCAAACTGATAACCTACCAATTCCACAAGTTCAAATTTCTATACTTCCTTTTCAAGTAGCATTATGCCCCCTCCTCCTTTCTCTTCTCTTATTTTTATATATCTATTAAAATTTGGCAAATGATATTCTAAAAGGTCGTCACTTTTTGAGACTAATTTCACTCAAGACAATCACATCCATATTTTTGAAAGCTATCTATTCTAACTCCACAAAATTCATCCCAGTGCTTACTAATTGATCTTATGTCTCAGGGTAGCAGTCGTCGGGGTCGGACGTGTCTTCATGGAGCTCGTCAACTTGGTTTTGGCTTAGAGCAACACAGGGCGGCAGTGGAGATCTGGGCGGGGCGCTCTGCCTGCCGACGGACTGCGTACCTTTCACCAGCGCGCACGCCTGCTGCTGCTTCCGGAGCCCTACGCATGGCGCTATTGTGGGCACCGGTGATATCAATGTTAGTGGTAATAGGCGGTATTGAACGTAATCCAGGACCTGGGACCATGGGAGAGGACAACGTTATTAAAATTGTGTGAAGTGTTTGTAGCTGAAATCTCAAGTCGGGAACGCAATGTGATGTTTGTGATGGTTTCATAACGGTTGCGGCAACGTAAAAACTAATCAAATTAATAGTGGAAAATGTGTCTTGTGAACTGTGCAGAAAAGATACGGAAATGAAAGATGCCGCTAGAATGACTAAACTCCAGTTAGACCTAGAGAATCTGCATTAAGTAAAAAAGAACTAAAGAAAACAATGAACAGATAAAAGAAAAACTAGTAACAACCCAATGAAGCAAAAAGCAAAGCGTGCCTAGTGATAGGAGACAATATAGTGCGGGACATTGCAAATGATGTGAAAGACAATGCCATTAATATGCTTGCCAGGAATAGGGACCGAGAAGCTACGTAGATATGTGGAAAACAATCTCGAATCTCCAGACGCCGTTATTATACACGCGGGTACGAATGATATAAGGTCAAGTAGTAATGACTACATTACTGGTGACGTATACGACTTAACGGTGGCCAAAAAGAAATTTCCTGGTACTAAAATAGTTTTAAGAGGAGTGCTGAGGAGAGACGTGCGATGGCAGCGAGTATGAGCAGTTAACGAAGCATACGACTGGGTTGCGGATTCTTTGGATGTCAAATTCGTTGATCCAAATAACCGGCTGCAGGAATGTGACTTCAGGACAAATGGACTACATCTAAACCGAAGAGGAGCGAAACGACTCGGTGGCCTATTATCCCGTGATGCTTTTGGCGGGAGTTCAGAGTCGGAGGGCCAGACAACCACCGGGGAATTGCAGAAAAGGTGAAGGAAAGTCGCTAGTAGTATTGCAGGTGAATTGATATTAAACAAAATTAAAATATTTTGGAACTTAATTGATATGTACAATCCAGACATCGTAGTAGGTACGGAATCATGGCTCGACGATAGTGAATGCTGAAGTATTTACGAATGATTGTGTAGGTTACGAGGGTTGCCTTTTATATATCAGGGTGAGAGAACAAAAACTAATATTAATAATCGAAAATCACTTTATTGTTTTTCAAAATATTCCCCATGAAGATTCATATTCACTGCTTTTGCATTGCGCTTTTAAAATCGTCGAAGCACCTTTGCACTCTGATTGAGTACTCCAAAACATGCATTCTGAATGCAGCAACCACTTCTTCAGTGTCGGAAAAAACGTTGACCTTCAGTTTGTTTTTTTTACATTTTTTAAAGTTATTCGGTGCCAAGTCAGTACTATATGGCGGATGACTCATCAAATCGATGTTTTGGGTGCCTCAAAAATGCAGTTTGTTTGCGCGATGTGTGAGAGCTCGCATTGTGGGTGAAGAGTGATCCGTCTTCGGCGGTTGGTTTTCCTGATTTCTTGGAAGAAGCTGGCAAACATCGTTGTGTACCACTCAGAATTGACGGTTCTGGTTGTTCTAGGTGGTACGTTTTGCGACATGTCATTTTTTTTCCGAAAAAACAGCGACTTCTGGGTGGAACGTTTGAAGTGCTTTGTGCACGAACAACTTTTGTTGGATTTTGCTCATCTTGAAACACATACAGTAGACTGTTTACTTTCGGGGCTCATACGCGTAAATTCACCAAACGATTCATCACCTGTCACGATGTACATAGATGTGTTTTCGAGGAAGCACCAGCGTTCGTATTTTTTGAGCATTTCTTCTTACGACCAATCGCACGAGTACGACTTTTTTTATTTTTGAGCGATTGACAAATTGGGTGTGGGTCCAAGCGAACAAATTTTTTTTGACAGTCAATGTTCATGCAATATTGAATGAATGCTGGTCGCAACCCCTATAGGTTGTCTCAATCTCACGATAGGTCACTCATGACGATCTTGCAGTATCATTACGGGCACGAGCATCAATGGTTTTCGGAACAAAAACTGACTTTGAGACCTTTCGCGAAATTCGGTTTGGAGTGAACTACGACACCATTGAATTAACGCCTACCATCGATACACACTGGTCCTGATGAGCTTAATCGGGCCAAAAATTGAATTAAGTTCATACCATGCACTATTGCTGAGTTTATCACGTCAATAGTTGTAAATCACAGACCGCACGAAATGTTCGATTTAATTCGCATTTTGGGGACGAAAGATGAATCTTTTAAGTAACTGTAAACAACAAATAGCGTTCGTAATGTTCGAAACGTTCTGAGTACGTATAAGCTCAAAACATCCAACCTTACGATAGAGCTGTTTGTTGCCAGATTGGAACACCAGGGTTGCCAGATCCCGAAACATAACAAGGCAACCTTCGATAGTACAAAGAGATCTCAGTAGGTATATAAAAAACGATGAATGTTAATAAACAGACTAGGTGATTAATAGAGGCATGATAATGATATTCTATTATTTGAGGTATGACAAAAAATTACAATTAACCAAGCTTTGGGTCGTATAAGATGTGCATTCCATGTTCAAATGTTTATTATGTTTAACCTTTTATCTTTTTGTATAACTAACAAAACCAACGATTGTCACATGTACAAAAAGCAGTATCAAGGTGATCCTCCTTCAAAAGAATCCCTAGCCCCCAACATTCATGAACATTTCCAAAAGCATGAGGAAATTATGTGACAAATTACCAAACAAAAAGGTAAGTTCGGTCACAATATATATGACGCACAACATGCCCCACGCGCCCGCATACCTTACAGAAAACGCTGCGCCTACTCAAGGGTTAATTACGCAAATCGTGTTTTAGTAGGTTTCATTCTCGTAAAATGTGCATTTATTTTCGCCTGATATAAATCACCTAACAGTAAATATTTAGAGTTCCAGAGCACAGTAAAAAAACAGGAAAGCACTTTATAGAAATAAAACTATCAGAAAAGCAACAATATTAATTAGCACTGCTTCACATCGATGGCGATGACTTTCTTCGCATTATGTGCTTTGGCTTGAAAAAACATTTATTTTCCTTATTTGATACTTTTGTATTTGATTGAAATCGACACACCCGAAAAGCATTGCAACAATATCAGAAGACACATACAAACATTAAGCATATGCGAGAAAATGATGGAAATAGAAAATAATATTACTACACAATAAAAATATAAACCAAAACTTCATTTCTGCTGTTTTTAACATCATATTTGTGGTATTTCAATCCTAATAAATAATTAAGAACAAGGGTTGGCTGAAAAGTAGTGAAAACAATATTACAAGATTATACAATGTAGGCCAGGTCCCTTCGCAACGAGCCAAATCAAGACCAAGTATTTAAAAGTGCATTTATGTTGGAAGCAAAACGATCAATACAAGACAATTGAAAGAGACAACACTTCCAAGATGTGGTGAGAGCACTTTACGTTTCCGTCTTCTTACTTCTTGCGTACTGAGACATCAACATAATTTCTGTTGCTAGTACTCTCACAAGCAAGACGCCACTGCGGAGAGACTTTCCAGGCCCATTGCATGATACGCACAAGTATTCTAGAGTTCCAGAACCCCAGCCCACACTCCTTTACCAACTTATACGAATAAAAGATATCAATCAGCAACGATCACTAAATTTGTTTACTATAAATTCGCACTCCAGTGTAATAGAGACTATGTACATCAAAATACATTTTGATAAATTCATCGACGTCGAAATATAAAGCTCGTGATTCCTCTCTTCAATACAGAAATGCTAGCAGATACTCAAATTTTCGAAAACGCTTCAGAGTGGATAGACGAAGGATTATTAAATGTCGCCAGCGGGATCTCATCCAATCGGACAGGCCAAAGCGGCGCCAAGACGACAAAACGTCCTCGGGGAGACGTTGGCGACAACAAACGTGGTATATGCTCGCTCGCAACACCCTCACACGTGGGAGTTGAACACACTTACTTGCCAAGACTAGGCACATGACAGGCCACCCTCACACATCGATGTTGAACACTCACTCGCCGCGACTATGCGAATAACATGACTCCCTCGCACGTGGATATTGAAAACACTCGCTTGCCTCGAGTGGCTGATGCGGCAGTTCCGAGTGTTCACGCGAGCTGAGGGAGGGGGGTGAGAGCAGCAGAGGCCTCTCTTCTTGGAAAAACTACGAGAATTCATCGACTCTGCAGTGTGTGTCCTTGTGAAGAATTCTCGATTTCATAAAAGGCTTTCCGCACTCAGTCCATTGCCAACTGCGTTCCCCTTGTGTTCGTGGAGGCTGACTACCTGGATGAACGTTTTCCACACGTGCTGCATATATAAGGGCATTCCCACGTGAGTGCGCACATATTTACTGAGGGTGTAAGATGTAGCGAAAGCTTTTCCGCACACATCGCATTTATGACGGCGTTCTCCCGTGTGGGTGCGCTTGAGAATTTTCAGGATGTCAGAATTAGCAAAAGCTTTTCCGCACACG